TCCCTCTGTCCTCCTCGTCGCTCCAATGGAATGAAAATCAGCACTTCCCAATTACCGCTTTCCAGTTGCAGCACAATGAGAGCTATTTTCCAGAGACACACATTATTGAAGAAAGCCACACAGAAATGGGTCCTGCAGCAGAGCCCGAGAGCCCTGCTCCGATCTCCACACTGTAAATGCTACAAGCCAGAGAAGGCTGGGGTTCAGGTGGTTCTGGGGGTCCTGTTTCTGAATGGATCATCATTGATAATGTGGGTTGCTGGCAAGCGAAGAGAGCTTTTCGTTACTTTTCTTCTTTACAGAATTTGTCTGTCTATCCTCCAGCTATATTTGTGTGGCCAGTAAAACGTGAAAATGGAGGCCAAAGTGTTAATGCTGTTGATTTCTCCTCTTTCCTTCTGGAGTTTATCAGTTGGATTGTGCTCTTTGGATTATGTTGTATGACAAAACCCATTCAGCCACCAGGCCTTCATATCTGTGGTACAAACAGCACAGTGGCTCCAGGGAGAGAAATACTCTTCACCTTCCCCTCGTCAAATCAGCTTAAATGGAGTTAAACATTAATGTCCCTCCTGGCTGCTCACCGTGCAAGGTCCAAGAGGAAAAGCATGATGAGTCAGCAGCTGGTAACTGCAGTTCCTGTCCCTCCTGCCCCCACGCCTCCCTCTCAACATGATTCACTACTTACTTCTCCCCTCTCCCCTCCCTCAGTGTTCTCAGACCTGGATGAAACCTAAGTAGAAGGCAGAGGGGCACTGTAGCTGCCCTGACTCCTAAGCACTGGAGAGCAGCTCCTGATGTGTTTGATACTGAAAAACTCCCACTGGCTGTCCTAGTTAGTGGACTGAGGGGGAACCCACTGTCTCTAAATGTCTTGCTTTTTCTGTTTTAGTGCCATTGCTGAATTAACAGCCCCAGAAACTGATGTATGTCAGAGGCAGAACTGGTACAGCACGGGCAGCAACACAGCATGCTTCCTGTCATGCTGCCCCTGCCATTTGGCCTTTGTCCCCCCACTCTGTAGCCAGTGTTAACACTGTAATACACCCATGGTAGAAATCAGTTTCCATTTTAATTCCAAGATGCAGCCATTTTGCCATCTGGATTGGTATGAGATCATTATAACTCTGCCATAGATAAAGTGGTGTCAATTACACCCACAGAATAACAAGCACTTCACTGTTGTCATGGTGCTGCACACTGTGACCATTTGGAATTTTACAACAGCAGTGGGGACAGAGCTCAGCTCCTCCTGCTCCAAAAGCCCCAGCTTGAGCTAAGGGAGAATCTCCATCAGCTGCTAGCAGGACGGGGCCTATGCCACAGGATGGAACTGTTCTGATTCCATCCAGCAAAGACCAATAGGGAACATACACACCAGCCAGTTCATTATTCTCTCACTCTTTCTCCATATAGACTTTTTATACAGATACATTTTAAACAGATAAAGAGAACCCTTAGTACATCTGTGGTGGTTTTAGGAGGGTGGTCCAGAGGCATGGGAGGAGAGTGAGCAGAAGATGACAAAACCCATTAAATTTAATTTATCTGTCACAGAATATACACTTCAGCACTGCCAGGTTGCTGGATGTACCCAGAACCTGACAAAGTGGATTGATTGCTCAATGCTGTTGCCGGGCTGTCTCTCAGAGCCAGACCTCTAAACTGTTTGTCTTGTACTAAACTATGTTGGAATAAGACTGTAATTACTGCTCATCAGCTTTAAGGCTGCCAGGGTTACCCACCTCACAGCAGTGGAACTGGTTTTGCCTGGGAAGTGAACCATTTACTCCAGCAGTAATAGAAGTTTCTGAAAATGCAACCATATGATCCATCAGGAACTCTGATCCAGAAACAGAGCTGACATTCCCACAGGCTTTGTGCAAACCTTTGCTACAGTTACGACCCTTGTGGGATTGTTTGATGGTGCAGCTTCTCTCTACAACAGCCCTTGCCACAGCTCCACTCTACAGTATAATCACACTTTGTACAGCTCCACACAGTCCCCCCATCCAGGGACTCATTTATTAATATTGGAAGTGGAGTTCAAGTCTGATAGAGGCAACACTTTCATTCTGAGCCTCCACCTTTGGCTTGAGTTCCCTCAGGGCTCCTTCCCACCAAATCAGTCCAATCCCTAAGGCTTAATCCTTCCCAAACAATTCCTGCTTCTCCCCAGCAGGGACCCACTGCTGGTCCTTCCCTAGACTCCAGTTACACGACACGCCAGACACAAGAGACTCCTGCACTCGGACACTCCTTCCAGCTCCCTCTCCCACTGAGAACAAACTGCTGCTTGTATCTCTCATCAACCCTGACTCTCAATCACATGCACTCAGTTCTCTAAGTCCCATGAATTAAGCGGAAAACCAGGCACAGGTCAGAGCTGGGTTCTGAACTCCTTAAAGGCTCTTTGACAGGTTGGAAATGGGTCTCATGTAAGAACCTGGAAAAAGGAGAATTTAAGGGTGAGGGAAGAACAATAAGAAGTGTTGGCTGTAAATGGCTCCCACTCCAGGAACCTCTCTTCCTTTTCATTAAGTTGCCTTGTGGGCAGAGAGGGGATCCCTGGCTTTTCCATGACCTCTCTCTCTCCTCTCTGCAACTTAATGAAAATCAGCATTTCCCAAATACTGCTCTCCAGCTGTCTGCCACCAGAGTTGCTCTCCACAGAGATGAAAGGAAATGGCTTAACATCCAAATTAATTTCCTGCCTTAAAATGAGTTTTCAAGCCAGATGTTTCTGATAGGCTTGTGGACACCAGGCTTTTCTGGGAATTGTACCCAAATACCAGGTGGAGACAGCCAGTGTCCATTGCCTTCCATACTGTGTGTACCCTCTAACCCCCAACAGCTCCAGGCTTGCCTTGTGTTCACCAGAGAAGCTCTAGCTGCTTAATTGGTTACACTAGCACACACAACTGAGTGGGGGATGAGGAGAGACAATGCTGTTGGCTCTCCTCTCCGGTGCACGGCGCAAGCTACGCAGGCTACTTCGTATCATTCATACTGCACAGCATGGCTACATGCATGCCACAGGTTTGTTCAGGGGACAGAACTCGGATCCTTCTGTTCCAAGAACAATGGACCTGACCACTGCAGCTAAAGGAGTGCTTAGCTGTGCAGCTATCAGGTCTTATCTCCTCTGGGGACTGCTAGACACAAACCCACATAGTAGACAGTTATTGTTATTACCTTTATGGTGCAGTAGCATCTAGAGCCCCCATACAGCGAGGTGCTGCACACATACATAACAGACAGTCCCTGTCCCAAAGCCACTCACATGCTTGAGTAGATCTGACATTTCATCTAACAGGAGAGGCTGTATAAGCTGCCCTGCTGTGGAGGTATTTATACTGCACTCTCAGCCCATGTACCTGAGCTTCTCACCAGAGGCAGGGAGAACACATCTGTAACATCAGCTCACACCGTGACCCATGTTAGACTCAGCTGCATGGTTTAAGATGGGGAGAGACTCCTGGAAGAGCATGCAGCGCAGATGTCAGAGCTTGGCTGCACTTCAAATAAAAGGAAGTTCTTCTTCACACAGCGCACGGTCAACCTGTGGAACTCCTTGCCTGAGGAGGTTGTGAAAGCTAGGACTATAACAGGGTTTAAAAGAGAACTAGATAAATTCATGGCAGTTAAGTCCATTAATGGCTATTAGCCAGGATGGGTAAGGAATGGTGTCCCTAGCCTCTGTTTGTCTGGAGATGGATGGCAGGAGAGAGAGAGCACTTGATCATTGCCTGTTAGGTTCACTCCCTCTGGGGCACCTGACATTGGCCACTGTCGGCAGACAGGATGCTGGGCTGGATGGACCCTTGGTCTGACCCAGTCTGGCCGTTCTTATATTCACAGGTGTAAGTGGAACATTAGGAAAAGAGCTCTACATAAGTAGCTGCAGGGTTGGGAGGGATGCATTTCCATTGTGTCTGGGAGCAGCCAAAACCTCAGGGCTGCTGGGAGTGTGATTCTATCTCAGGTCACACCCAGCAGTAATTTATCTTGATCCCATCTCAGCTACTCCAGGCCTCCTGACTACAGTAGTTACTAGTCATTTGCATTTGTCAGAGTGCCTGGTAGTTACAGTATTTAACTTTTGGCCTTTTTTGGAAGCAAATTCCTGATGCTCTGCCCCCAGTGCTCCTTTGAGGTGGAGTTTCCTCTTGCAAAATGAATGTGAGGGGTGCTGAAAAAGCTATACGTGGCCCAAGTCAATTGGTTCTGATGACTGTGAAAGATTTTGCTTTTGGTTCAAATACATATGTCACAAGCCTTATCACCATAGTTCCCTAGCACAGTAGTCAGGATGTTCTGAAGATGCTATTGTTCCAGGTCCTCTACTAAGGAATACATGACACAACCCCACACCTCTATGCAAATAAATGCAACTCTGATAGAGTGGCCAAGCAGGGCTAACAGAACAGAAGTACTTGTGGCACCTTAGAGACTAACAAATTTATTTGAGCATAAGCTCCTGTTCTTTTTGCGGATACAGACTAACACGGCTGCTACTCTGAAACAAGCAGGGCTAGGAGATCAGAACTCCTGAGTTCTAGCCTGGCTCTGCCATTGGTATTCCTCCCCTTATCAGTCACCTCAACCCACCAAAATGAGATAAAGCTTGCTATAGTCCAGCCCAAATCTATATCAAGCTAATGTTTGCCTGAAAAGCACAGCTTTTCACCTTGCCATTCAGTCCCTTTCACTATATAACCTCTTGATTTCAGTATATAGAGCACATGAATTTTGCTCTGTAACACACATGGGCAGAAGATGCAATTGTTTCTGTTGCAGCCCCTTATTCAGCTAATAAGAGAAGGCCCAGGGGGATGGAGGGGCACATTCCTGAGCAGGAACAGAAATTCAGTGGAAGGATTGGAGTTCAACGGAAGTTGAGAATTCAGTGGAACTCCCTTAGGAGCCTTTGACACTCCCAGCCTCAACAGACTGGAACATAAACTGCAGTCTTACAGTAAAGGCAAATGGCCATGAAATAAACACAAAAATATACTTTATTTGCTTTCTACATACATTTCTGTTGTGCATTAAACTGCATCTGGACTATCCTATATTTACATGGGTTTTTACTTGTGTCCATATATTTTCCATCTAGGAAGGTTCTGGATTCTAAAAAAAAAAAGAAGACAGGCTTATTGTTACAAAATACTAATTATTTAATAGCTATGCAGAGCCCAGGCCTGCACACCTGCTGCATCTAAAGTCAATGAGATTGTATGTATATAAGAACTAGGGGCATTAGTGACTGATATCTACAAACAAAAGGACCAATCCTGCAAAGTGTTGATTGACTGCAACACGGACTGGTTTATTTGGGTGCTAAGAACACTCAGCACCTCACAGAGTCAGGCCTTTAAATAGTATGGGATGGTCTAATGGTCACAGTGCAGGCCTGGACATTAGGAAATGGTGATGTCTAATCCTAGTGCTGACATCAACTCCCTTAGATACTTAGGGGTTGATTTTCAGAAATGCTGAGCACCTGCAGGTTCAGCTGGAGTTATGGGTGCTCAGCATTTCTGAAAATCAGGCTGTAACCTCTCTTGACTCTGTTTCTTCATTATTTTGATACCTTGACACTGTGGTAGGGGGTGTACTAGAAATTCATGAACAGATTCTGTGGATAAAGACAGATCTGTAAAACGGGGATAATACTTAACTGCCACACAGCGGGTGTGTGAGGATTAATAGGTTAATGTTTGCAAAGCACCTTGAAGATGAAAAGTGATAAGCCTTATTACATCTGGTGTGCACAGTAAATGAGAACACAGAACAGGATCCTGATCCCAGGCTGTAGCCATTAGGTACACAGCATCACTGAGGATATATCTACACAGCCTGTGGACTTGAGCCTCCCAGCCCAAGTCAACAGACATGGGCTAAAGGGGCTCACAATAGTGCTCTAAAAACAGCTGTGTAGTGAGTGTTTTGAAACTGTGGCTTGGGCAGGAGCTAAGGCCCTGAAGCCTAGGGAGAGTGAGTTTCAGAGCCTGAGCCACAACTTCAAAGTGCTGTTGTCTACACAGCTTTTTTTAGAGCGCTAGCATGAGACCCGGGCTGGGAGGCTCACTGCCATGGGCTGTAAAGACACACCTCGAATGTCACAGCAAATCAAGCTCTGAAAGGTATTTTAATCTCACAGAGCCAAATCTTACAGTTTACCGTGAACGGTCCCTTATAACATGTGCTAACTATTTATACTAAACTATCTATTCAATCTTGTATTTAGCTAGCACACTCTTAGTACCTTTCCCAGACTTGAAGAAGAGCTCTGTGTAGCTTGAGAGCTTGTCTCTTTCATCAACAGAAGTTGGTCCAATAAAAGATATTATCTCACCCACCTGACAATCTAAGGTCACACTCAGTCAGAAATCCCCTTGGTGTCCACTGGATGCCATGACAGAGCCAGACGGTAACATTTCACATGGTCTGCATATTTTGCTATCATTTCTTGTACTGTTTTTATTCCACTTAAATTTGCTTCTCTCTCATTCTTATGCACATGTCTCAGAGACACTGGTCAGTGAAACTTGCACTGAACTGTGCCAGCTGGAGCCCACAGCCTGTGCAGAAACCTAATCTCTTAAATGGACTTTAATTACTCAACTCACTGTAACTCAGGTCCTGTCCCCACTGAGAATTTATGATAATTGCAGGCAATATTCACAGACAGGCCAAGCACAGAAGGACAGGAGAGAGAGAGAGAGAGTGTGTGTGTAAAGTAAAAAACCTGGTCCTGAAATGCCTATTCAGTCTCCAGAGCTACAAATCTGCATCTTTCACCAACACAAAATCCACTGGATCCCAAATAACTCCGCAGTTCCTCCCAGTTTGCCCTCCAGCTTGTGGAATCCTTTCCTGCTCTACCACTATGTGAACATCTAACAGAGAAAAACCTCAGATTTCTTGCCCTGTAAAACCCACCTAAGAAGCACCACTTCCCTCTGCCCCTCCAGCTGGGTATGCAGAATGTCAGTGAGATTTGAGCATAGAAGCTAGGCATGTCTGTTTTTCTATTGTGTTTGCTTCTTGCAGCTGGTAAGATTCATTCCCAGTCCCACCAGACTGATACTCTCATTACCCTCAGAAGGTTTATCCACAGTTTTGTAATATGAGCATCAATATTGAAATAACTAGAATCAGGACCGGCTCCAGGCACCAGCTTCTCAAGCGGGTGCTTGGGGCGGCAGCTCCAGAGAGGGGCAGCACGTCCAGGTATTTGGCGGCAATTCGGCGGACAGTCCCTCACTCCGCCTGGGCCACCCGTACTTTCTTCACAAAAAGGGACGCTGATACAATGCGCAGTTTAAAGCCTTCAGCCGCACTGCCCATTAAACAGAATGCGTCTTTACTGCGCGTCAGTTTAATTTTCACATCCACTCCGTTTAACAAAAGTTTTTCTTGAAAAAACAGGTCGCTGTGTAAATGGCCCAGCAGCTCTACCATTCTGCTCTCGGCCGTCAGCTTTGCACGCCTCACAAACCCTAGATTCCCTCCATCCAACTCTGTTTCTTCATGTTGTCCAGCAGTGTCTTTGTAAAACAGGCCGGCGGAAAATTGCGTGGCGAAGGTGTCGTCGCTGTAATTGAGCACTGATTCTATAAAGGCCCTGTAAGGGTAACAGTTATTGTTTTGGCTTATGAAGCGGTCTCCCAGCGTGACATCTAACTGACTGAAAATAGAGGCCACGGGGTAATTCACCAGGCCCACTTCAGCGTCCACGGTGAGTTCAGTTCCGTCTCCTTTTACAATCTTGCAACACGGGTACAGCAGCGTGTTGTTTAAATCTATATAATCTATGCCATTCCCTGCTATAAAAAAGTAAATGGGGGCAGACTCCATAATGGCCGATAGAGGCGGCCCTCGATGTAGATGCTTTTCTCAATGCTGGTCTGCGTAGGGGCTATTTGAAACAAGTCTAGTTCGGATTTGGTGCACTCTTCAGACCCGCAGTGAACAAAAGCCATGTTGATTAAAATATGTCTCTTTTACCAGGCACAGTGCGTCTCCTCTTTCGCCCAGGCTTCCTCTTGGACTTTTGCTTATGGCTGGCCCAGCGCGTCAAAGCCTTTCTTTTAAAGGGTTTCAGGGGACCTGTGCGTTGAGTATTTCTCCTTCTCTTCCTCCTTTTAATGTACATCAGCCCCGATCCTTCCTGTGAAGCTGTATTCCCCACCTTCTCCAGAACAGCACGGGAGACATGACCTACCACATCTTTAGCTATGTTTTGAGCGGCGGTTTTTACGTGGGGTTTAATAATCTCTAGCGCCCTCCTCAAAAGCGGTACGGCTTTTCGAAAGAGGCTACGAAATATTCCACCCACACCCGCCCCGTACATCATGGGGGCCTCATGATATCCAGGAAGGGCGTATCCAGCCCGGGGTTTGTAACAGTTCCTGTAGATGGTGGGGTCATCATAATTTTTTGGGATCGCCATAATAGGGTTTTGCTTTTTTAGAAACCTCGCTCTCTCCGCGGCCGCACATGCAGCTTGACGATCACCTTGCCGAAGCGAAATGAGACATGTCTGTTCTGATCTGTCTTTATTTCAATGGTGATGGTGTCGATGTGGTGTTTACTGACAGGGACGTAATGAGGTTTGTCATAGGTGATGGTAACAAACTCATTGTTCCTTCCTCGGACAGGGATGCAGCGTAACAGGGGAACAGAAAAGTCCCCCACAAACTGGTGTTCTATGATATCCGTGTATAGATACAAGGAGTTAAAACCTCCTGTGATGTCTGCCGAGAAGGGGAATTTTTGAACGTTGCGTTTGTGGCCCAAACCCATCGTAGGATGAAATTCCACGTTGTAGCTCCAAAGGTGATTTCGAAAGGGGTGTCTTCGTTGATGGTATTCCAGCTGTGTGGGTATTGTATTTCCGCTAACCCCACCTCCCGGGCACCGGGAGATCCAAGGGCTTAATTAGCCGTATTGTAAAGTTCGAGATGGTGTTTTGGGGAAAAACTGCAGAGCTGGCATTGCTGGGCAAAGTAATGTAAAACCCACTGTCGCTCATTTTTTCTCTCTCTCTGTCTTTGCAGAAGGAATCTTTTTTTGTTCTTATCTAGATGTCACAGAGTTGAGAAACTTCCACCCAGCTGTTAAACTTATCGGGCCACCCCAACCATTTCACCAGTAGCTGCTTTTTTCTCCCTTTTCCTTTCTCTGCTAGAACTTTTTCAATCCTGTAAATCCTGTCTCGTTTGGGGTTTACTTTTTGTAATTTTTCAGGGTAAAAAGATCCAGTAACTGCCTCACCCTCGTAATCTTTTAAGCGGTATACAGGTCTCTGGCCCCTGGTTAAGGCTTCATCCACTATGAATATCTCATCGGTAAACGTTTGTTCATAACCTTTTTCAAAAAAGCCTTTGGTTTTAGATAGTCTCACGTGGTCACCTTTTCTAAAAGGGGCAACAACCGGTTTTATTTTAAAACCATCTCCGTAAACCATTTTCCATACCTTCAGAGAATTTGAAGGGTTAACATCAACGGGTCTGGTACGTATAGTTCTGTGAAAGCTCTGGTTGTAACTCTTTATAAAGTCAGGTAAGACGTCAATGTAGCGAAAGGTGTTATGGGCTG